ATGGGACAACGTGCACACGCGTGCATCGTCGCGCGCGTGTGCCGGAGGACGAGGAGGAGGAGCAGGAGGAGGAGGAAGATGGAGGAGGAGGGCGATCAAAATGGCAAGAGGCCTTTTGGATGCCTCTCGGAATCTCTTGGGGTATCTCTTGGGCGCCTTTCGGAGGACTCTTGGGGCGTATTGGGGGTCTTTTGGCGGTCCAGGGGGGCTCTTGGGCGTCCTGGGTGCCTCCGGGGGGCCTCTGGGGGCCGCTTGGGGTCCTCTTGGGGGCCTCCTGGGGGCCTCGTGGGGCCATCTTGGAGCCATCTTGGGGCCTCGTGGGGCCTCTTGGGCGCCTCTTGGGACCATCTTGGAGGACATCGATCAAAGAAGGAGGGGTCCTTAATTAGGGCTGCCCTTCTAGAGCGTCTAAAATCGCCTCTTGGAGGCCTCGGCAAGCTATCCGAAGCGAACAGGCGAGAATGCAAAAAGCATTGTTTTGCCTTAGGTGTTTGAAGGATGTTGGCCTCTTGGGGGCCTCCTTGGAAGTCTCGCAGGCCTGTTGAAGCCTTCTTGGAAAGTGATTAGGGCTTCTTCGAGCATCTTGGGGGCCATCTTGAGGCATTTTGGGCTATCTTCTTCCATCTTGGAGATCACCTTGGGCTCTCGGAGGCCCTCTTGGCGCCATTTTGGGCGAACAACTACCCTCTGACACCTCGCGGGGCGCCCCGTCCAGGTCCAGGGGAGTGGGCAGGGGGGAGGGGTAAACCCCTCCCCGAAGGGGAAAAAGGGTGGAAGAGGAAATGTCCTAAACCACCTACGCCCGGAGGGCTGGTGGGCTTTTCGAAAAAAGTTTGCGCTCGGGCTCTTGCGAATTCTTACGGAAACCGTAGGCTTCTCAGCATGTCCATTACTTGTTACCAAACGGGTCTGTCGCGCGCGCATGTCGGAATCGGTCGAACACCCTTGCGCGCGTGTTGTCGCAAGAATCCGTTTCAAGAATTGGGACGAAGTGCACACACGCGCGCGTCGTCGCGCGCGCATGCCGAAATTATTCACAAACCGTACGTTCCGCAAGGATTTCAAGATCGAGTGGCCGCTGCGCGCGCGAGCATGCGGGGACTAGCGCGGCCGCAAAGAAGCACCAGCCAAGTTGCGGGTGGGTGGGTGGGATGATTGCGCGAGCCGTGGAAACAGTTTATTGTGAACAGAACTGATTCTCCTTTCTAAAAGGAGAATAGACTCTACCCCCCCCCAGACGTATCCGTTCCCCTGTCGGGTATGTAAATCATATATGATTCTGACCACTCGTCCATCCTAAATATGAAATCATACCATCCCAGCCAGGCCAGGTTCCCCCCCCTGAGGTTCCCTTGTAAAAAACACTATGCGGTGACATTTTTTGCTCTAACATGACACTTTTTCGCGAATCCCTTGCAAAAAATGGGACGAAGTGCACACGCGCGCGTCGTCGCGCGCGCATGCCGAAATCCTTCCAAAACCTTCGGTGCCGGAAGGATTTCGCAATCGAGTTTCCAAAAAACATACAGAAACACAGGATTTCGCAACACTGATGTGCTAAAAAAGCTTCCGCGCGAGCTCTTGCGAAATCTTAAGAAAACCATAGGCTTTTCAAGATTTTCACAAAATGCTACCAAACGGGTTTCGCGCGCGCGCATGTCGAAATCTGTCGAACGCCCTTGCGCGTGTGCCGTCGCGAGAATCCTTTGCAAAAAGTGCGACGAAGTGCAGACGCGCGCGTCGTCGCGGGCGTACGCCGAAAACCTTCAAAACCCATCGGTTTCGGAAGGATTTCAAAATCGTGCGTCCAAAAAACCTACAAAAACTTAAGGTTTCGCAACACGGATTTTCAACAAAAGCGTGCGCGCGCGCTCTTGCGTCGTCGTCGTCGTCGTCGTCGTCGCCGTCCTCCCTCCTCCCGCGTCGTCGTCGTCGTCGCCTACGTCGTCCTCTGTCTTTTCTCGTGTTCGTCGTCGTCGTCCTCTTTGGCGTCGTGGTCGTTTCCGTCGTCGTTGTCGCCGTGGTCGTCCGTCCTCCTCCTCCCACGTCGTCGTCGTCGTCCGTCGTCGGCGTCTCGTCGTCGGTTCTATTTCGTCACCGTCGTCGTCGTCGTTGTCGTCGTCGTCTTCCCTCCTCCCTCGTCGTTGTCGTCGTCGGCGTCGCCGTCCTTCCTCCTTCGTCGTCGATCGCGTCGTCGCCGTCCTCCCTCCTCCCTCGTCGTTGTCGTCGTTGTCGTCGTTGTCGCCGTCGTCGTCCTTCCTCCTCCCTCGTCGTCGCCTTCGTTGGCGTCGTCGTCGTCGTCTTCGTCGTCGTCGGCGTCGGCGTCGTTGTCGTCGTCGAAGTCGTCGGAGACGTCGTCGGTGTCGTCGTCGTCGTTATCGTCGGTGTCGTCGTAGTCGGTCTTAAGAGGTTTTGCAAACCAAGTTGCGGGTGGGAGGGTGGGGTGTTTGCGCGAGCAGTGGAGAGGACAGCTTCAAGTTGAGCAGGTGATTGAGTTGCACAACATACATTGCACCACACAGATTGCTAGAAGCACACTGTTTGGGGTCCACGCTGGCTACCCTACTGTTACTAAAGGCAGATTCAGCCCCAGTGGGATTCTATTAACGGCGGAGCGAACTCTGCCAGGATTCTATCACGGCCGGATCGAGGAGCACTGGTAGCATTCTATGGGAGCCAGCGCTTGGCGCGGGCGCCGGCAGCAGGTCCGCCGCCGCAGCCACTAACGTAGCCACCGTCGTAGGCGACGTCGTGGGCGTCGTTTTCGTCTTCGTCGAGGTCGTCGTCCGTTGTCGGCGTCGTCGTCGTCGCCGTCGTCGGCGTCGTGGACGACGTCCGTCGTCCGTCGTCTGTCGTCGTCGTCGTCGTCGTCGCCGCCGTCGCCGTCGCTGTCGCCGTCGCCGTCACCGTCGCCGTCGCCGTCGCCGCCGCCGCCGTCGTCGTCGTCGTCGTCGTCGTCGTTGTCGTCGTCGTCGTTGTCGTCGTCGTCCGCGTCTGCGTCGTCGTCGTGCTCGTTTTCGTCATCGTGGTCGTCGCCCGTCGTCGTCGTCGTCGTCGCCGTTGCTTGGAACGGGGGGAAGGTTTGGACCCCTCGAACAATTTCGGAGAAGGGACACGGGAGGGATTCCTGGACCTTCCGAGTAATTTTCCCGGGGGGGGGCGCGGGGGACCCTTCCTCAAAATTTCCTTGCGTGTGGGGGGGGGAAGGGTCCGGATCTGCCGTTTCTTTGCGGGGGCGGGGGTAGGGGGGAGGGTGGCCCCTTGGTTTCTGACCCCGCCTTTGTAAAAATATATCAGGCCAGCCACGGTGGATCACGCCACTTCTGACATTTCTGAATCGTGCCAGGGCACCATAACTGGGACTTCATCCATACGAATATTTAAAAACTGCTGCAAGCATTCAGAACGAATGTGGACGGCGCTCAGGCGAGAGCCACATTCTGAAATGGAGCAGTCTTTCGTTTGCAAGTGTTTTGCGAAGTGTTCAGACGAATGTGCGCGGCACTAAGACGAGAGCCACATGTTGAGAACGGGCAGGCCTCCATCCTTGAAAATGTTTGAATGTTTGCAGACGAATGTACGCGGCGCTGAGGCGACAACCACATTTTGAAAACGGCACGCCTTCCATCCGTGAAACTGTTGCAAGTTTCGAGCTTCAGGATCAGAAATGGTAAGACGGTAACCGACGGAACGCCCGGCCCGCCCTACCGAGTCATCTGGGGGTACGACAGGGAGGAATTGTGCAGAAGGAAAAGGGATAGAGGAGGAGGAGGGGGGGGAGGAGGATGAGGGGGAGTGGCTGCTCGCACGCGGGGGTGGCGCAGGGGGGGCGATTTTCTTAGAAGGCGCACAGGGTTCTAAGAAAACTTGCAACAAGCTGCTGGGCCTTTCTACGAAGCCCCTCGCTTTCAGAAAACCCCCGCCTTCTCAGGTCCCTCTCGCGGCACCCTCTTGGGCGCGCCGCCAGAATTCTGAGGGGGGCACACGCCTTCGCTGTGGGGCCCGCCCGCCACCGCCACATACCAAGCTTGGCCGCCACGTGAAGCCGGCTAGGGAGAGCTGCTGGTTGGCGTGACCTCTAGGAAACGGTTGTCGAAGATTGTGTTCTGGATCGCGCCGCCGCTTGGAGGAATCGGTCGCAGCTTCGCCACATTTCTGCGGCTCCATCCCCACAACCGCCCCTCCGTGCGCCCCCTCCCCAGGGCTTCGGGTGCATGCTCGCGAGCCCGCGCGCATTTCCAGCTGTTGCACAGATGTTGAGCGATTTGTTTTCGAAATGGTCCGCGCGCATTTCCTATAAAGTTTATTCCAGCTACATGGATGGAGGGTGATTCCTTCTCGGACTCGTGGTGCCTTCCTGCTCGCTGGCTGACGGAATCAAGCACAGTCGTTGACCCCCATTTCAAGACGTATCGTTTTCTCGCTTCTCAGGCCCATGGGACTCTCATCGTTTTAGCGAGTGCTTGCCGTAGCGGATAATTTCGCGAATCGACTTCTTAAGAGAGGACATGGAACGGGAGGGTGTATTGCAGAATCAGTGGTGTGTGATGGGTTCAGATTGGTCACCCGCCTAATTGTCTTCCATTGTTGCGTGTGAGTGCTCTTTTTTCATGTGCCGATTGTCCTGGGCATCATGATTGGATCCGGGGTGGGACTGGGAGGCAGGATGGAGAGGCCGGGGGGCAGGGGTGAAAGAGGGATAATTCGGGGGTCGTCGTTGACGCTTCGAGTCTTTGTTCCTGCTACTTGTCTAAGCAAACAAGAGAGCGGCGGCGAAGCGGGTCAGCTGTTGGAAGGCCCCGAGTGGCTGGAATAATCCACCGAGAGGCCTGGCGGAGGCCCAAGAGCCGCAAAGAAAGGCCGACACGGCAGAGAGCATCAGCACGCAGCGGCCAGCAGCGCGCAGCAGCATGCAATCAGCGAGCAGCACCAGGCGGCAGCGGGCAGCCGCAGACGGCAGCAGGCGCGCGAGACCCAGCGGCCCCCCCCCAGCCGGACAGGCCGCTGAGAAGCACGCCGCGGAGCTGCGGGAGGCCCAGGCGCGCCACCCGCCGCGGGTGCCCGCGCGGCATGGCACCTTCCCACCCAGAGGGACTCCCAGGCAGGGCGGACTCAACTGCAGCGAAGACGCAGAAGCAAGGACCACCTGGGGTCCAGGAGGGGCTCTGGTTCTTCAGCTGCTCCTCGGGGCTAGGGTCAGGAACTTTGGATCAGCGCGTCGCGCCGCCGGTTCTGGCCCACCGCGCTTTGGCGCAACAACTTATTCACTTCCCGGTCCCCCAGCGTCAACATTCCAAGTTTTTCGGAACCTTCCGCCCCGCGGAGCGGAGCGACACGCCATCCGCTCGCAGGGCATAGCGTGTCGCCGGGGCCGCCGCCACGACACGCTAAGCAATAGTTCCCGACCGCAAGTCACTCCGTTCCGTATTCGGCATTTCTCACAGTAGCACGTTCACTACATGCGGGAAGAGGGCCTCTCGCAGGAGTGGCCACGGTGCCGGCCCACTGGGGTCCCCTTGGCATCGTTCGGACGTGTGTATTGTTTCTGCGCGGTGACCATCGAGGAGCATCCTGGATCATCTCGCAAACAAAAACACACACACACACACAAACACCCACACACACATTATATCTATATAGATATATATATATATATATATATATACACATATATATATATATACATATATATATGTATAAAGAAAAAGTGTGTGTATGGCTGCGCTTTCAAACATCCGTGTTCTGAGCCACCGTTGGCATTTATCTCAAGCTCTTTTTCGACGGCCGGCACACGCTACGGTGGGCGGACAAAAAGTGTCCACACTTGTCGCGCCAAGACAACTCGTCGCCAAATCACGTCGAACGAATATGTATACCCCCCTTTCCCCCAACTCAAAGTTGGCGGAGTTAGGCGGCAGGCCGCACGCCAGGGACAAAATGTGGACACTTCAACTTTGGGTTTTGGGGGGGAGGGGTGCGAGGCAAGTGCATCATGCTGTTGCGGTTGCTATCACGTCGCAGTGTATTGCCGCCCTGGGTGTGGACACTTTTTGTCTGGGCGCCGTAGCTTTCCTTTCCAGCATTAGGTCCTCCTTCACTGCACTCCGTGAGTTCGGCGGAGTGACAAGCGCCATTGGCGGCCTGGCTGAGCAGGCGACCGACTGCGCAGTCCTGGAGGCCGGCTCCCAATGGGTGCCGACGCTTCTACTCATCGTCTGGTTATCCGGTTTTTGTTTGTGGTGCCACCGCCACTTGTTGCTATGGCAGCTGGAGGCATGCGAGTGAGAGGCCGGTTCAACGTGCAGTGGGAAGCCGGCGAGGATTGACAGAGCCGTATCATCGTGGGCCCCGCTATTCGCCAGGAGCTGGTCGAGACCATGGCGATCGACGCCACTGAGGAGCAAAAGAAGGACGGGAAGAAATGGTTCTGTCTCACTCCCGACTTGGACGTGTACCCGAGGCTGGTGGACAGCCCCGCGCTTCGCGGCGTGGAATTCACGGAGAACAACATGCGGGTGCTGTGGAGGACCCGCCGGCGCCGCAACGGGAGACAGGTGCACGGCCTCGATTGTGAACCCACTGCCCTCGAGCTGTTCAATGCGATAGAGATGGTAGCTCCAACGAGCGGCCCCGATCGGCGCCAGTCCTAAAAGGGCTCGTTGGAGGCTTCCAGTCCAGCAGCGGGTGGAGCCACGGCCTCGGCAAAGGTTCACAGTGGGATTAAGACGCTTCCCGACGTGAAGCCTTTGAGGTGGTACTTCTCCCACGGGCCCAACAAGGAGGAGCAGGGTAAGGAGTTCCCGCACACCACAGCGGACGAGAACGCGAACTCGTAGGACGTCGCGATCGCGGTCGTGGGCACGGGGGTGTACACTCTCACGGCCTTGGACCCGAAGGACGGCGTCGTGCAGGTGGTGCGCGACGAGCGGCTATTGACGATGGCCAAGGACCAACGCGGGGTGCGCAAGAAGATGTACCGCGACGCCGTCTTCGAGGCCACCGAGTCGCAGTGGCCAGGGTGGCCCTTGCAGGGGCCCAGCACCACCGGCTGGTGCGTGCGCTCCATCGCCGAGCAGGACAGCCACCACCGGGCCAGGCACACCAAATGGCTCCATGAGACGGGGCGATGTGCCACGGACCCGGGGGCGGCCGACCACGAGCTGGCAATGCGCGCTTTCGAATTAGCGCTGCTCTACGACCGGGTCAATGTGGGGGAACTCGCCAGCTTCGAGCTGATGGCGAGGAGAGCGCAAATAGCGGAGTAGAGGTACCGCGATCGATTGGCGCCCAAGCGGACGGACGACACCGTGGAGGACGAAAACTTTTACATGGGGACGGGGGAAACGAGTGGGCTCATCATGGTGGCCCAGTCGCTCGTCGAGCACATCTCATCAGAACTTCATCGGGAAAGCCAGGTGATGAAAGAGAAGCGAAATTTGAGGAAGGAGCGGCAGCGTGCAAAGGGCGCTGGCATCGACGGCGAGACGAAGAAGGCTCTGCGCAAGAAGGCGGGGAGTCAGGCTGCGGAGCTTCGCCAGCCACAGCTGACTGCGGCCGGGAAAGGCACCCCAGACGGTTGCCGCGATGGCGGCCGCGGCGGCAGGCGATCATCGGGATGCCTGCGGCTCGGGAGCCACTGCCAACGCTGCCCCACGAGGTGCCTTTCAGCGGCGGTGAGCTATCCAGCTGATGCCGCCGCGCGGTGCTGCCCCGGGCCCGCCGCCTTTGGGCCGTCGGAGACTGGAGTAGGGCGGCCCATCATGCGCTGAGTTGCCTCCACGGTCGAGGGGGCCCAGGACCTCCTCGGCCGCCCACCCCCAGGCAAGTTGTCGGTTCTGAGCACGTTCGAGTTGCAGGTCAAAGCATCGGCGCCCCCAGCGTGACCGGCGCGGCAGCCTCTCGAGAGCTGCGCGCAGCATGCCCGGCTACTCCGCGTAGCCCGTGAAGTCCGCCGCCGCCAGCCCGACCCAGTTGCGCTGTCCTCGCCCGGCGCCAAATGCGACGGCGCCCGCGCCAGGCAAGGCGAGGCGCTGCGGAAGGGCCCTGAGATTTCCGCGGCGGCGCCGCATTGCGACGCCAAACTAGTGCAGAGCAGGTCCACGTGGGCAAAGTTCGTCGTGGACCTGTTCGAGGTCGGGCTGATTGGGTTCGGGCGCCTTCGGGACTCTACCCTCGGTCTGTTCGTCGCCCCCAAATCCGATGGCAAGCAGCGGCTCGTCTGCGACACCAGGCACGTCAACCAGCCGCCTGCGCACCCTGCGCATTCTGCCCTGCCCGCGGCGGGGTGGCGGAAGGGCCTCGCGCCTCATGCTGGAGCCCAACGACGAGCTGCGCCTGGCACAGGCGGGCGTGGAGGCGTGCTTTTTTCGCGCGAGTGCGCCGCCAGGCCGTCAGGAAGCATTCGCTTTGCCGCCAGTCGACTGCGCGACGGGCGGCCTGGCCAGATCTTGCGCCACCAGACGGCTGCCAATGCTGCCCCTCGCCCGCGGCCCCCCCCATGGGCTGGAACTGGCCATTGTCTTCCTGCCTGGAGATGGCAACTCAATGCGCGCACAGAGCTGGCTACTTGGATTCCCGCGTCGTCGCGGACAAGCGGGCGGCGCCGTCGTTGGCGGGTCAGACGGCCGCGGCGGTCTACGTCGAAGGGGTCAGCGGTCGGCTCGAACAGCCAGCAAGTGATGGACGGGGAAAGCCGCTCACTTGATGTCGCTCTTCGCGCGGTGGGCCTGGCGACAAAGGACATGCGTGGAGCCGCTGCAGGACGAGCCGCCGCAAGACGGGCCGCATCTCGCCATCTCGGAGTCTGGCGCGGAAGACCCGGCGGGCGCTCCAGCGCGCCGCGGATGCCGACAGGCTGACCGGGGCGCAGATGCGCACGTTGCTCGGCCAGTAATTACACTTGAGCAGCCATTCAACGCCGCCCGCCGCTGGCTGTCTTCGGCGCCTGCTACTCGTTCGCCGGGAAGGCCGGCGAGACGGCGCGGCGCCCCTGGGCCACCGCGCGGCGCGAGCTCCGATTGGGCGCGGCCCTCGCGGCGACGGGGTTGGTCGACCTTAGCCGCCCCGCGCCCTTGACCGCGGCGGCCACGGACGCGTCGGGCGGCGAGTAGCCTGCGACGAACGACTTCGGCGGCTTCGGCGTTGCGAGCCGGTCGCCCGCACTCTACAGCTGAGCGGGAGATGGAGATTCAAGACACACAATTTATTGGGGGCCCAGGCATCTGCCCTCGGGCTCGAGGGCGATCCTTCGGGCGCTGCAGCGCAGAAGCCTCCTCCTCCATCCACCGACGCGCCACGCCATCGCCGCGTCGTCTCGCGGGATGGGGGGGCCGGAGTTCTACGAGATTCGGAAGTACACGTTGGGTTCGCAACGGGGCTGGAAAGTGCGTCCCGACGGTCGTTCCAATCGGAGTGCTGACATCGTTTCACTGGAGGGCTGGGCGTTGCTCATGGGTGTTCGACACTTCATTCGACATGCTGCCAATCATGGTCGTCGCCTGCTGCTGCTCTCGGACAACATGGGTCTGGTGCTCGCTTTGGGAAAGGGGCGATCGTCGGCGCCTGCACGCAACCTGCTCCTTCGGCGTCGCGCTGCTATCGCCATTCTCGCCATCGTCGACATCGTCGCGAGGTGGCCCCCTCAGAGCTCAACCCGGCAGACGCCCCTTCGAGGATCCCTGGAGCTTGTGCTCAAGACGCTTCGAGAGGACCTCAGATCCTTCGGCGGGCGCCCCCAGGCCGACTGCGGGGACGAAGCGCTATGGCGAGCGGCTGCGAAGGCCCTCGCCGCCGACGGCGGCTTGCCGCCGCGCGGGGCCGGGGTCGCGGGCCTCGGCGCCGCCCTCGCGCCCGCCCCAGCGGCCGGCGGCTTCGGGCTCCAGCGCGGGGGCCCTGGCCAGCGGCCAGGCTCGGACAGAAACTCCGACTCCCCCAGCGAAGGAGAAGGCAGCGGAGAGGAGAGCGAGGTCAGCAGGGGAGCGAGCCAAAGCCGCAGCTCAGACCCAGTTGTCGCAGTCAGCCAGGGGGTCGCTGACCGAAT